CTGCGTCAGATCCCGGTTTCACTTTTGGGTCCCTGGCCGCCCTCCGCCTCACCGGACGCGCGCGCTGCACAGGCTGGGCGGACGCCGCACCTGCTCCCTTCCGCCTCGGGGGCCCAGGCGTCGGGGCACCGGCGGTCACGTGGTCACGGTGAGCCCCCTCTTCGTCCCCTGCGTCCCCACCTCCGAGCGCACGCCCGCGCCTCCGGCCTGGCCCGCGGCCTCGGCCGGCGAGGACCGGGCTCTTCCTGGAAGGCCCCGCCGGACGGCTGCGGCTGTGGAGAGGCCCCGCGCCGCCCGAGGTGGGCTCTCCAAGAACCAGGGCTCACAAAGGCCCCACGTACCTTCCCGGCCCATCCGCCTTCCCTCGGGCCGGGCCGGCCCCTAGGCCTCATTTAGCCTCAGCCCTGGGCCGGTGGCTCAGAGCCGCAGACCAGGCCCGGAGGTGGAGCCTGGTGTCCTCCCCAGCGGGGGCCGCTGCCCGGGTGGGTGGTGTTGGTGTGGCCCGGGACGCCAACACTGGCCAGAGGCCACAGCCCCCATGATGGGCCCTGCTGGCCACCCCAGTTTGGAGTGGGAGTTCGTGGCCCCAGGACATTGAGTTCCCTTGGGTGCTGGGAAGTGGGCAGGGCAAGAACTCTGCCCACCAAAGGGTTTCTGGCCACTTTGGGGGGGGGGCAGGCTGCCTGGTTTCTGAGGTGTGAGTGCCAAGGCAGCCATCTGCCCCTCTCAGGAGCATGCCGTCCACCTTCGAGCGGGTCGTCCAGGGTGTGGTCCGGGAGCTGGACCACAGCAGGAAGCTCATCCCCGTGGACAGCCTCCACAGCTCCACCTGCTTCCGGCCCTATTGCCTGGTGAGCCAGAAGCCCTCCAGGTCCTGGTTCTGGAAGCCCCGGTACACAAGTGTCAACCTGTCCATCAAGGACATCCTGGAGCCTGATGCGCCTGAGCCAGGTACCCCACCTGGTGCAGAGGCCCCTGGGCCAGGGAGGATGGGGGGGCATCGGGGAGCAGTCCCAGCTGTGGCTTACCAGGCCTGTGTGTGTATGTGTGTGTGTGTGTGTGTGTGTGTACACCAGTGTTGGGGTTTGAACTCAGGGCTTGGGAACTGTCGCTTAGCTTCTTTGCTCAAGGCTGGTGCTCTCCTTCCAGCTCCACTTCCAGCTTTTTTTTTTTGAAAGTTAGAGATAAGAGTCTCACCGACTTTCCTATCCTGTCTGGCTTTGAACTGCGATCTTCGATCTTCGGATCTCAGCTTCCTCTGTAGTTCGGATGACAGGCATGAGCCACCAGCACTGGACTGGGAAGGCCCTTTCCAGAGGCCCACTGCCACAGAGGTGGGTGGGGCAAGTAGCTGTTGGACCAGATCTCATGTCTCTGCTTCAGACTTAGAGCGCGATGGCCCCTTCCACTTCTCCGATGACGTGGACGGAGAGCTGAAGGGCAGTGTGGAGCTGGCAGCTCCGGGACAAGGGAAGATCTCAGGCGGGGCCGCAGTGTCTGGCAGCTCTAGCACCTCAATAAATGTGTGCACACTTCGTGTTGACCCAAACATCTGGGAAGCCATGCACCAGGAGAGGTGAGCCCCAAAGGAGATGTGCACACAGGGCCCTGGTGGCCACTGAGTCCTGAGAACCTGGTGAGCCCCAGGGCTGTGCCCCTCTCACCGGCAGCAGGTTGTAATGAGGCTTGGTTTGCAGGATTGTGCCCTGGGGCCCAAGGGGCACAGGCAGGCTCCAAGTGCTTAGGAACGGGGCAGAGCTGCAGGGAGTGGAGAGGAGACGAGGTCTCCCCGGGTAACCCTGCCCACAGCTTCCTGGTGAACCTCATCCCTCTTCTCCATACCTACCCAGACACCCTTGGGTGGGCTCGGGGAGGGTGCCCATGCCTGGTACCTACAGATTCATGGAGGTGCCATCCACTCAGCCCGTGGGCTAGCAGGGCAGGGGGGAGGGCAGCAGGCCGGGGGTGGGGGAGGGCAGCAGAGCTGTGGCATGCACGGCCCAGTCATCTTCCTTCAGGCGCCTGCGGCAGCCGGAACACAAAATCTTGAAGCAACTGAGAAGCCGCAGGGACAACTTGTACGTGGTGACAGAGGTGCTGCAGACGCAGGAGGAGGTGCAGGTCACCCGCACTCACAAGAAAGAGGGATCAGGCCAGTTTATACTGAGTGCAGCCATGTGCCTTCAGGTTGGTGGCCAGGCTGGGGTCCAGGCAGTGACTGGCAGGGCTGGGCTCTGCCACGACCCCCCCCCCGGGAGTAGCCCACAGATCACTTGGCCAGTGGGCTGGCTCCCACGGAAGGCAAACTTGTCACTAGTACCCAGCCCACCTTCACACCCTGCATGCGTCTCTGTACCCCGAGTCCAGCCCTGAGCCCACATCCATCTCTCAGGGTGAGGGCCAGGGCCACCTGAGCCAGAAGAACACGGTGTCCATCCCTGCAGAAAGCATCCTTGCCTTCCGAGTGGCCCAGCTGGTCATTACCCATGACTGGGGTGAGCAGGAGGGCAGGACGGGGGTGAGCAGGACAGGATGGGGGGCACCAGGGATGTCTCTGGGGCCCAGTTTGTGGCCTGAGTAGGCCTGTGACTGGCCAGGCTCTGCTGTGGACGGAGGGAGGGGGGGGGCTGTACAACCTCTAGGGATGGGTGGGTGGTGGAATGTTCCAGACTCTGGCGTATAGGTGATTGGGGAAGGCCCTCACCTGGTTTGGGGGTGACCTGCCTCTCCCCGTCTGCTCCTACTTGCTGTCAGACATCCTCCTCTTCCCAGATGAGAGGAAGACGACCTTCCCACCACCCTCCACAGGTGAGGATGAGGCCCAGCCTGGCCCTCGGGCGGGGGGAGGAGGAGCATGCTCTTTTGGCCAGGCCTTCTCCTGGGCTCAGCGCACAGGTGGCCGGGAGCTTCCTGAGGCGTGGGCACCATGTACGCGCACAGAGAGGCGATGGTCAGGTGGCACACAGCCTGCCGGGCTTCCTGCCGCCTCAGCCCTCTTCCTGCCCTCCCTCCCCCCCTCCTCACCGCTGCCCAGGCCAAGCTGGGGCCCGCCGCCTGTCCACCATGCTAATGTCCTTCTGCAACCCCTTCAGACTCATGACAGGTCAGTGCCCTCGTAACACCCACGGGCTTTTCTCATCTTTCCAGACCCTTCCTGGCTGGGGCCTGTGGGCTCCAGGCAGTGCCAGTCCTCTGTCCCCACAGATGGGTGCCCTGAAGACTGGGTGGTCTCTGAGGACTTGCAGGGTCTCCAGGCGGAGGTGGAGGCTGTCTCGGAGGAGCTGCAGCACATGGAGACGGAGCTGAAGCGGCAGCTGCTGGGGCCGCTGGGCGCGGTCCTGCGGGATGAGCCAGCGCTGCAGGCCTTGGAGGACTCGGTGGGTGCTGAGTGCTGCACAGGCCTTGGAGGCCTTGGTGGGTGCTGGGTGCTGAGTGCTGCACAGCGGTGCACCACGCCCGCCGGGCAGCCGGGGCTCACCCCCTGTCCTCACCCCAGCTGGACCAGGGCCTGTGCTGCGGCGGGCAGGTGGAGCCTTTGGAAGGCCCCGCAGGTGCTATCCTGGAGTACCTGGTACTCCCCTCCCGAGTGCTGGCACAGGAACTCGCCACCCCCATCTTCTACCTGCTCGGGGCTCTGATGGGTGAGACCCCGGGGACCAGTGTGGGACTGGTGGGGTGCAGTGCTTCCCCGCAGGGCTTTCCAGAACCCTGTCCCTCCGCAGTGCTGAGTGAGAGCCAGCACCAGCTGCTGGCCGAAGCGCTGGAGACGGACACCCTTCCGGAGCAGCTTCGGCTGGTGAGGGGGTGCAGCAGGGACTGGACAGGCCAGGCGCCTTTGGGGAAGGCGGGCTGTATGACCCACACCCTGTCCCCGCAGGTGGAGCAGGTCCTGGAGCAGAGTGCCCCGTGGCACATGCCGGGCGTGGTCAGCCTGTCCCCGGACCTCCTCGGGAGGGGCTGGGGGGAGGAGGCACCCGCCTGGGCCTTGCTGGAGAAGTGTGGCCTGGCGCTGCAGGTCCCCGCGCCTCAGGTGCGCTGGGAGCCGCAGGCCCAGGGCCCTGCCTGCGCCCTCTACGCCTCCCTGGCACTGCTGTCGAGATTGAGCCCAAAGCCGTGCTAGCTGCATGCCCGGCACTCTGCCAGTCCAGGAAGGCCGGGGTCTGGCCAACCACAGGGCCAGTTCACCATGAGGCCAGGAGCTGAAGACGCGTAATAAATGTGATATGCAAAGGAAAGAATGGTGGCTGAGGTGTTGAGGGTCCTCTGCCTCTGGGGTAGGGTAGAGGGGGGACTGTGCCCCCAGGAACAGGAAAGACATGGGACCAAGAGCCGGCATCTGTCCATGCCGCTCACTCGGGTCATGAGACCTAGGGGAGCCTGGTGTGAGCTGGGGCATGGCCTGCACCCCGTCTGAGAAAGACAGAGCAGCCTAGGGGATGAGTCCAAACCAGGCTCAGGCGCGCACTGAGGGAGCAGGCCACTCTTGCCCACAGCGTGTGCTGACATGTGGCTGGCAGGCTCGGAGCACGCGGGCCCCATGGCGGTCCTTGAAAGGCAAGCTGGGCCTCCCTGCGCCTGCAGGCCTCTGGGCCTGTTCCCAAACACCGAGCAGGGGCCCCGGCCCCCACTGGCAGGTCCTGGGAACCAACAGGTGTCAGAGCACAGGTGAGTCCAGCGGCCCAGGAACCCGTCCAGAGCGAGGTATGCGTCGTGATGGGCCAGCGTGCTCTGGATGCCCGAACCGCGCGGATTAGACTCAACAGGAGAAGCATGTCTTTATTTTGTGGTGACCTAGTACGCCTGCACGGAGCAGCTCAGCCTCACGCAGCTTGGCGGGAGCAGTAGCGCCCCCTGCTGTCTGGGCACAACCCGGATATGCAGCTTGCCAGACACGCTAGGAAAAGGGATGGCAGAAGCAAAGGCCCTGCCGGAGCGCGGGTGGCTCCCGTCTGTCACCCTCGCTGCCCAGGAGCCCGAGATCTGAGGATCACAATTCAAAGCTAGTCCAGGCGGGAGGATCTGTGAAATTCTGATTTCCAATAAATAACAGCAGCAACAACAACAAAGCTGGAAGTGGAGCTGTGGCTCAAGTGGTAGAAAACAGGTTTTGAGCAAAAACTCTCAAGGACAGCACCCAGGCCCTGAGTTCAAGTCCCAGGACCAACATGAAGAAGAGGAGGAAGAGCACCCTTCTAGACCTTCACCTCTTCACATAGTGAGGAAGGTCATTACATTTTAGACCCACAATTCTCTGTAAACACTTCCTGTGACTTAAGAGCAAAACCTGGGTGAGTGGGATGGAAGGGAACAGCCAGGTCTCAGGAAGCACTGTGTGAGCAGGCGCCGCTGCTCAGGGTCTGGGGCCGAGACCCGCACACGAGGCTACAGACAGGTCCTGCTGGAAGGTCTACCTGTGGTCCTCAGATCTGGTACCCCAGTGAGGTCCCTGGGGGCAGAGCCCATGTTAGATTATTGGAAGCTGGAGGAAGGCCAGCTGGCTCCCTAGCAGGACTGACGTGGAGAAGGGAACACGTGTGGGTGCAGGCCCTTCACCAGCAGGGTGTGACCACAGCACCTCCTACAAGGAAGGCCTGGAGGCCGCAGCCCTGGCTTCCTGTGGAGGGGCCCGGCCTCAGCACCACCTGCTACTTGTCTGGAATTCCGGTGCAGAATACCTCACACCCTGGCTGGCAGCCAGGGGCGTGGCCAAGGCCAGTGCCGACAGGGCAGACTGCTATCTGTGGCGGCAGGTCCATAGGGCAACACGCATCCCGGCTCTGCACAGCTGCAGAAGACAGAGTGTGCTGCTCCCAAGCAGTGCGGAGGCGGGGTGGCAGGGGCGCCTCCTTCCCACACCAGCACCCGTCAGAGGTGGTAGGCCCTGTAGCACCCCTGGGCGCCCCCACTGGACAATTCAGCTGCTCTGGGGTGCAGTGGAGCGGTGCTTGGTGGGAGAGGAGGCTTCCCTTGCTCACCCCTGGACTGAGAGGAGGAGACAAGCTTGCTTCTCTCTTGGGAAAATACTACTTGGGGAGGCGCTGGATGGTGTCCTGTCTGTGGGTGCCTTGGACGGGGGGAGCAGTTGGAGAACTGGAGGGCAGCGCGCATGTCCACGGTGCCTCCTTTACCCCCCACCCTGTCTCACTACAGCGTGGGGGCCGCCTGGCCTTGCCAGCATTTCCTCAATACATTTCTTCTATGCTGATCCCATTTTGGCACCTGCTCCAGAGGCTCCAAACTGCGGTACCATCCCTGTCTGCCGCTAGGTAGCCTTGGCCTGAGCCTAACCTTCCCCGAGAGCCAGCGACAGAAAGCCCCTGCCGGGCCTGATGGCCTGACTCAGCCCCTCAGCTGCTCCTCTGACCCAGGGTGCAGCTGGCCAGGCCTTGGCCACAGCCTCCAGCCTGGGCTGCCTGGCCTTCAATGCGGCCTCCACACCGCCCACTGCCCTGCTGCGCACTGCCGTACCCGCTTGTTATCCCAGCCCAGCCGGCCTAAGCGTAGTCAGGTGCCTGGCCCACGCACCCCATTCCTGTGCCCACAGAGCCCCAGTGTGACCCACAGCCCCCACGCTTCGGTGTGCGTGGGAGACTGGGAGGAGGGCAGGCGGGAGGGCGTGTCCAGGCAGTCATTCTAGGCGGTGACGCAGGCTGAGCTGAGGGCTTTGGCAGCCCACAGGGCCTCTTCCTGCCCATCCGTCCCGACTCTGCCCTGCACAGTGCACTGGGTGGTGGTGGGGTGGACTGCTTGCGCTGTGCCTCAGCTCAGGTGGGCCTGGCCCGGACTGTGGGGCAGGCAGCCTTCAGAGAAGGCTGCGGTCCGTGCGTGACGAGCAGGGGAGGATGGGGTTAGTAGGCATGGAAGGCAAGGGCAGGAAAGAGCCCCGCACACACAGAGGTCCAGTGCAGGACAGCTGTCGGAGGAGGAGCGGGTGGCGGGTGACGGCGTGGTCAGAAAGGTCATGGGAGGGCCGGGCCAGGTGGGAGGCTGAGGCCCAGCGAGGGTCAGGCAGCCCAGAGCAGCGCCGACTTCCCCAGGGCCACACCACAGCTGTTTGGAAGATGGACGCTGTCCAAGCATGTCTGGCCCGAGCCGGGGTACGGGACACGCCGGGCAGGGGACAAGAGGACGAACTCGAGGGGAAACGGAGCTGGCGGCCCCTCTGCCACGCCCTGTGGGGGCCTGTGGAGCGCCGGCGTCCAGCAGCAGGCTGGACAGACTGCCCTCGGGGTCCCCCTCTTCCACAGGCTCACCGTGGGCACTGAAAGCAGCATGCGTGGGGGCCGACAGCCCCAGCCATGACTTGAGTTTGGTCACAGCACCAGGTTCAGCGGGGCTGGGGGCAGCTCCAGCGGCCGGCCAGACTCCGTCGCTGGAAGGGACTGTCAGCGTAGAGCGGCCTGGGGCGGGCTGGGCCCGGACTCCGCTTCGGGAGGCGGAGGAGGCAGGGCCTGTGTGCGCGTCCCTGCGCCCGGGCCAGCAGCGCCACCTGCTGGGCGGACACCTGAGCCGCGGTGGCCACTGCGGGCTCCGGGTCCCTTTGCAGCTGCCCTAGGTCTTCAGGGAGAGGCGGCTCAGACCGGGTGGGAGGGTGCCCTGGACACCCTGCTCCGTCCACCCGCCCTGGACACCTCCCTTATCCACCCACCCACTCTGCCCGAGGACCCCAAACTCCAGCAGGTCTGGTCCTTACCCTGAAACAGAGAGTCCAGCAGATCCCCATGGACTCCACGGGGGCTGGCATAATAGACGAGGAAGCCTGGGCCAAGGCGAACGGGGCGGGGGGGGTCTGCTGAGCTTGGGTCCAGGCCCCCACTGGGAGGGACCAGGGCAGTTCCCACCAGGAAGGTAACTCCAGGCCTGCCTCACCTATGAGCATGGCAGCCGCCCGGCGCAGGGGACCCTGCGGACTTCGCAGGTAGCCCTGGGTCTGGCTCAGAAAGCGGGGCAGGTGGCTGGGGTATCGCTGGACCTGGAGACAGGAGGGCCAATGCTAGGTGGAAAGGTGGACTAGGGGGGAGGGAGGCGGGCTGCAGGGGGGACCTGCCTGCAGGGAATGTGACAGGCTCGGTGTGGGGGAGGGGAGCCCACTGACGCCCCTCCCCCACCCCGCGCTCCGCTCACCAGGCGGTGGCAGATGCGGCCCAGAGCCTCGGGGCTGTCGTAGTGGGCCACGGTGACCACCTCCTCCAGCAGGCCCCACCCGAGCGCCTGGTCACAGCGGGCCAGGGTCCACTCTGAGCTCTGGCACGGAGAAGGGAGGACAGTGAGGGGGACAGGAAGTGGTAAGTGGTGATGGGGCAGGGGGCTGGGGTCGGGAGGACCGGACAGCCCAGGCAGGGCTGTGTACAGCAGCCCAAGGGAGCATCGGGGACCTGGGAGCCCACGCGGTCTGTGGGCGGGGCGGGGATGTGAGGCGGGGCCGTGTGAAGCAGGGCCGCGTGGGGTAGGACGGAGGGGCGGGGCCGCGTGGGGTAGGACGGAGGGGCGGGGCCGCGTGGGGTAGGACGGAGGGGCGGGGCCGCGTGGGATAGGACGGAGGGGCGGGGCTGCGTGGGGTAGGACGGAGGGGCGGAGCCGCATGGGGTAGGACGGAGGGGCGG